TCGAATGACCACAAATGCTCAACGACGCGCGCAAGTCCAATCGCAGTAGAGATAAAGACCGGTATCGTACACCTATGTGCGGGCGAAGGGGCTGGCCATTATCAACCACCCGAAAAAAACTTTCGAACGCCATCATTCTCTTTAACTATGTAGGCCGGAGGATGGTATTGTAGTATTGATTGATAGCAATAAGTAGCGCCGGGTATTAGGTGCAGTGCTTTCGAGGTAAGCGTTATCGACAAGCAGTTTCTGTAGGGTAAAGCCACGGATGGCAGAATGGCCTGGCGGCTAATGCATCGCCGCATAATGATAGCGACTCTTGGAGCTCGCACGTGGACACGTGGAGCGGCCCATGGCATCAAATATATTCACTGTGACTTCGACCGAACACTACGCCTGTCTATCAGGTATATCGGACCGCTGTGCAAGCCATCATTGCACTGAGGTGGGCGATGGTGGACGCGTTTCGGAACAAACAGGGTGGAGATTTGTATTGATTGATGATTACGTAGCAGAAAACAACAAAGTGGACGGCCCTGTTGGGTATCTGAGCGTGATGATGGTTGCAGCTGTTAACGTTGAGGTCGCTGATAAAAACATAGATAACGACGATGACTAGTCCTTGAAATAATTTCCGCAATCCGTGTGTTGTACTAATAGCACCTCGTGCTCGGTGCACTGGTTTAGGTATGCAATGATGCCCTCGATGCGATGTGCAGAAACTTCACTATTGAAGTTGATCGTTAGACGGATATTGGATTAATTGTCTTGGGGCGATCATTTGCAATAAGCCTGTCAGAACGGGCACTCTTCTCAGACTTGAGGATGGTGCTGGTAGGAATGCGTGACAACAGGTTCTTACGGTTAACGTGTACTTCGAGAGCTCGAAAGTATACACACCTGCAGATGATTTAGCAGTTGTTGCCGTTCTCTCATCCCACTGGCAGAATGCGCTATTGGTATCCATATGATCCCTGCCAATCTACGCCGCCGTTCCAAGTCGATAGATAGACCTGTAGTAACTCTTAAGAAGTTCCAGTGTTCAAGTGTTGATTGCTCTACTGATGCTAAGTGGTGGCACTAGACCTCTGCGCAATACTTTAGGTAATTTTGTGAGTGTGATTAATCTCTCCGAGTCCGTCACCGTCCTTCGTCTGCTCATCTAATCATTAAATTGGGTACGCCGAATTCCATGTCGTGCGACATTATCGTTAAATAACTAGGGAGTTGTATTGACTGTCGGGGGGATGGTTAGCATAGTCATTGGTCGGCGTTTGGCTAGCACTGCGTTGCCCAGATGATGCCGTTGACGCGGCCGTTAGACCCAGCGGCAAAACCGTTTTGACCAGCGCTGGCCGCAAGTAGGCTCTTATATGCTTAGTAGTGGACTGCGTAGTCATGGACTGCACCGAGCTGGACTTCATCTTCGGACCACAGCTAGAATTGAGATCGGATCTTATTATCCAGCTTGCCTATCCTCGCCAAAAGGGACTTGACGTTAGCAGCCAGGTCCAACAATTCGTTCCGATTTGCAACATTTACAGCGACATAAGAACTGGCAAGCTCCTCCTCTTTAGTACATGCGTTTCGTGGAATACCCAAGCACCCTTTTTGAATAAGTGTGCTAACCTATGTCTGACAGACATTATAACTCAACAAGCTCCAACGTAGACCCATACGAGTATTACAGGCGTCGATGTGATGAAATGAGACTTCATTAATTGGCGCTTACACAACCACTAGACAGTCACTAAGTTTGGACAACAGTCCGCAGTTGTGCTAACGCTAGTTTAGCAAAACACCATCAAACGGATCTTTAGAGTTTTCACAAGCACTCAGGAAAACGGGGGCCGTATTCACTACGGCACCCCTGGCGGCAACGAATACACGTGTCGCTACGTTAGAGAGCAATTGGTAGTCGCAAATGAGGGCGTAGCTAGCACGTTGGCTTTCCCAGAGTGGCATAAAGAGAATGATTCTGGTAGTACGGCGCCAATTTGTGGGATATAACTCGCAGATTGGAAGGTGACAAGCGCATCCCTGATCTGAAGGGGAATAAAGTCGTAAGACATTATATAGGTGCGTTACGCTACTCTAAATTGCTTCATCTACAAGCAAGGCACACTCTGTTCATCGCACATCGGCTTCTCACAACAACCTCTTGTCTATTTTCATAATATTCCGTCAGCTATCCTACGGTACTGCATGAATGAATTATTGGTGTCCTACGGGCGCCGAAACAATTAGCGGGCAGATATTTTACAGAGAGGTTTCTATAGAGTTACTAGCGGCGACGAAAAGTAATAATCCTATGTTGAGGTAGATTAAAGGAAAAGAAAGGGCAGCTTTAGGAGATACATCCAAGCTTACAGTCGACTTAAACTTTAATGTTTGCATAACCATTTGCATTTATTGGGACTTGAAGTGTCTTGTGTACCAGAAAAGGCTTGAGTAGAACAAGATGATCAACAAGATACAGCATCTATGTTTCATCTGTTAGAGATTGCACGAAGAAAGTGTTTGCGCCCGGATTCGAACCCAGACCAGAACGTGCCCCTAAGATTAGCAGGCAAGTAGATTACCCACTGAGCTATCATGGGGACAACAAGGTACAGCCTAGCTACCTCGAATGAACGAGGTTATCCAGCAAAAAAAGACGAAATTCTTGAGGCTGGCTTTCATAATCTTCGCCTGGTCGCACATAATGAAGATTATGGAAGCCGCTATGCAAAAGCTTCAGTGGGAGATTATTTTGCACCCACCATAATCTGCAAATCCGATAAAATAATAAATCTCCGATACACGGTCATTACATTAATAATCATAAATTTGACAGTGAATGGTTTCAACCATGGCTATTCGAGATCTTCCACGGCAGAACTGGAAAGTTTTGGCGACAACGAATAAATATAATAGGATTCAGTCGTAGACAATAACCGCAGTACACCAATTAATTTGTTGCTAGACCTCCAGTAAAATGATGCGTCTTTTGTTGGATAAAAGAGACAAAATTACTCATGTTCCAGGTGTATATATATATAGACGTATCAGAATAATCCTCTCTTTATTTCGAAACAACTTTTTACCAGCAGCAGCGAGCGTGTAGACGGTAACATACTAAAGTTCCGTAAATTTTCTCTCAAACACGTCTAGTAAATAGTAAGCTAATGACTAAAATCTAAATTGTGAGGCGACCGTTTTTGCTCGAGAACGTCCTCTCCGATTTAGCCAGCCTAACTTGCAATGATTTGGTTCGGCGGGTGGACATGCGGCCTACTATTCAACATGTGCAAATGTGATAACATGTTGTACTCTTTACAGGACTCAAAGCATAGGATGTGGATTCGAATTGAACACTTGATATTACATGTTATTAATCGTAGTCACGGCGGCGGTTTATTTTTGCATTAACGGTGAACATTTTTTCGTTAAATTGATACTACACTACTAGAAGAATCGAAAACGGCTTACCGCTCCGTGGAGAACCCAATAGCAATTAACACCGAAAGCTCCCCTAATGGTAAAAAACGTACCTGAGATCCACGTGTATAAAACGATTCGTTGTGCCTATTCTCAATTTACTTAGCACCCAAGACGATTACTAAAATATGAAACTAGTTTTTTGCATTTTTTTCAGTAAGCTGCGCAGCTTTTACAGCTGATATCCTGTCGTATTCTTTCTGCTATGGCATGCAGAAACCTACCTATGCCTTCCGCACAACCACAATTTCAAACGAAAGCCATCGTTGTTCAGCCAGAGAAATCAAGCAAATGTACAGTTTCGATATGGATTCGTCCAGGATTAGAAGAGCACTAGCTAAACCTCACTAATATAGTAAAGACAAATTTCCTGCCTTAACCAGAGTTTGTGCTTCTTTTTAAGGAATAATAAACATCTTTTCATAGTAAGTTTTTTTTCGTGCCGCTGCAACTACCATATGTACTAGGTCTATAGTTGGTAAGAAACGTGCCAGACGTTAATCTGATATTTCAAGGTAACTGCTATTTTATAACGGTGCGACATTTGGCGCCATTTCGGCCGTATGCGAAATGCGCTTGTGCTTCTTGAAATCTCAGACAGTTCACTCGCATACAGTGATTTAGGCTTTTGGCAGGCGAGCCTTAGTAAGCCTTGGAAAATCAGGTAATATGAGTGCTTTACGAATACAAGCTCCGCCTTGAAACTATAACGGTGGAGGCAGTTGACCGTATGAACCTTGTATTTGATGAACGTTCTATTGCTAAAAACACCGTGAACCATTGTTTAAGAAAAAAAACTCTGAACCAGAAAATTAGTCCTGTGGAAGACCGCCTGCAGAGACGAAAAGCTAAAAGTTAGACACTCTGATAAAAGCCGGTCCGTTTTAAAGTGCACGAATGTTAGTAATTAGGTTCAGTATATGTAAATGGAGCACCTGCACACGATTATCGTGATCCATAATTATATTTTGGTGAGAATCTTTCAAAAGATATGTATTGCACAAAGGTCCATGAAAGAGTTTACCCGTTTCCCGGATATGACACGGATTGAAAGTTACCTTGAAAGGTCTACGCCAGAGAATGAACAACTGAGGGACATAAGAGCCGCGATTGAGCAAGAATGTGCCACTACATTTAATGAAATGTTGCTGGGGTTTGAATAACGTTATCAGCAGAGTATTAATCAGAATTGCAACGCATCTGAAGTAGAGGCAGAAATATACAATGTATTATATGCAAATAAAAATTGAAGTAATATGCATTCTTAGGACATCCTTTTATATGTTGTGCTGTGAGGGGCAAAAATTCACACATACATATATTTTTTTTATTTACAGATTATGAAATGGTCGCGTTAATCGTAGGCGTGGGCCAAAATTCAATTTACATCTGCGATTTATTAGTCGAGTAACGTATCCCACTTTCGGTATAATCTTTTAGATCTGGGTATGGTTTACAATGTTGCGTTTAGATAGCTAACTTGTAAGTTCTAATAAGAATACTTTTCGTGTGCATTGCAGGAGAGTTGAATTTTAAGCAGTAAAAATCGACGAAAGGAACGCATCCTGTTGAACTTTGACCAGCGTTCATCTCAATAACCAATAAAAAATCATCGTATAGGCTGGAACTCAATTTATAAACTAGCCTAGAAGATTTTGCTGGTCAGGATCCGCTTAAGACTGCGCACTGTCCATCAGATAAACGGTGCAAAGAAGATCGCAAATAGTCAACTTTCAGTAACGTAGTTTCAATCTGCTGATAATCGAGTCCCGCTGAAACTGGACTAGACGTGATACCGAAAAAATTTGAAGAGCAACCACAAAAGAAGACGCGGTGACGCTTGATAAGTGCACTGCCACTCGACGTATCAACATACTTATCCATATATTGTCATCCGCTCGTCCTGGAATATTACCTTTCCGAATCGCCGAGTTGTCGGCCTCGCCTTACGGACAAGCCACTGCCGCCGTACAAAGGAAGACAAGATGCCAGAACTACAAAGCATCGAGGCATCCCTTTTGGAGACGCTTTCGTTTAACAACTCTCCCAGCCCCACTGATGTAAGTACTTCTATTCTTCAGTGGTTGTTTGTATTATGTTTCTTAGGCGAGAAAAATGTGTACATACGAAGCATCCGTTTCAAATCGAAAGAATTTAATAACCTGTGAGCTAAGTGCGGGGAACACGCTCTGCATACCAGAAAAATGAATGAATAAGAGAGAACGCTTACAAATTTTTATGAACCTTTGACAGCAAATAGTCGGAGCTGATCCGCAATAGTCGCAAACTTCGCAAAAGGGCGATGAGAAAATAGGATCTTTCGGGAGCGTCTTTATGCTGTGCTTCCTGCTGATATTTTCTGATTAGTTTGTTGGTAGAGTCTTTGTCCAGAAATATCGGCCAAATATGTTCAGGTGAGCAGGTAAAAAAAATATGGTCTCATATCCTTTGGCGATGTATCGACTCTTGCCCCTAGAAAATGTGTGTTATCCCATAAGTTACGTGAACTGTTTAAACGTCTTTTAAAGCATGCCTATTTTAACATAATGATACGCACTGACGTTTTTCTAAAAAATCAAACGGATATTTGTCGCATGTTGAACCCTTCCTACAGAGGGAGGCAATAGGCAATTGTGATGGGTGATCAAGTCTATCGAACTAAAAATGGTATCATTTAGCGGAACCGCTGGTATAAGCTGGTGTTCTGGTGTAAGTAGATTCTTCTATGAATTCATCTCATTTCATTATTCGTTTACCGTCGAAGCAGAGTTTAGGCTGTTATGAAACTGATAAGTCGAAGACCTTAAGTGAAAGAAAAGGTGACAATGAGAAAGCAATGTGATGACAACGGCCATCTGTAACGCAAAAACTTTTGCGGGAGCACGTCGATGGCGGCCATCGAAAGACTGTATAAATAAAAGCAGATAACGCCCTAGATTTACCGTAAGCTCTTAGTGGCTTTGTTTGAACCCCTTTATCCGGGTTAGCCGCTGCAGCGAACCTCAAAGCTCTGATTAGCACACTCCTATCAGTGCTTGGTTACGTCTGCTTGCCAGCACTTTCCAGAGTATAACGGTGCATACATGCTGGTCTGAATTCTGGGCTTTATATTTAGGATACAAAAATGATTGCTTCCTATGTAAAGTGTACGATAGGTCAACTTCTGTTCGCCGGATGCGCTGTTGAGCCTCAAGAAGACAGACTTTCTTCTGATTTCAAGGTTCGAAAATACCGATCGTATGTAGTTCGCGTAAAGCCGATTTCGTTAAAGGTGTTGGCAAGCAAGACGACTATTAACGCTACAACTTGACGCTGATGACGACTACCACTAACGCGTATGCCGATTGTTATTATTGGGCGGCAGCGAGTCAAGTCCATACTGCTTATCACTGAGACTACAATAACATCAAACTGAAGTATTTTGATAGTAATAAACCGGCGGCAGGTTCGGACGTGAGTTCTTTTGCTATACAACAATTGTCGTTCGCCAACTTTTATTCATAATCAAATTGAAATGAAAGTTCTAGCAAATCAGCTACCAAATAAGTGAATAAGTTGTAAGTTATTGAACTCTGTTGCTAAGAAGGTGCGTGCTTTGTCTGTTACGCTGGAATTCGTGAGATGTCAGCGAAATAAACAGAAGTCACATTTCTGAATTACGCACGCCATGCTATTCTTTCTTTCTATTTCCCTAAAAATGGCACTGCTAGTCATAGCTGTCATGGTAATGGTGGCGTAGTATTTCTGTAACGACGCGAAGGAGCAAAAAAGTCAACGAACGACCAAACTATCCATTCTACCAGCCGACCAAACAACAGCAATCGCTGCAATAACAACAGCGATAGAGAACTATACACACGTGCATAGGTACTCACACAGACCGAGATGCGCACGCACGCACGCACGCACGCACGCACGCACGCACACACACACACACACACACACACACACACACACACGCACACACACACACACACACACACACACACACACACCCGAACACACACACAGACACAATACCACACAGACAAACACACACACACACACAGACACAGAAACACACACACACAGACTCAGACACTAACACACACATACACATACATATACACAGAGACACACACACGCGCACGCGCGCACACACACACACACACTTACACATACAGAACACAGCGTCGCCACTGCCACCGCCGCCGCAGTTGGCGCGGGTCGTCGCCTGTGCAATTGTGACGATAATGACGGCCCCGACGACTCGCGGGGTTGATATAGTAGTAGCGTGCTGCAGCTCCAAAGGTAGCTTCGATTCCTACGGCTGCTTCTGCTTCTGCTGTTGTCGTCGTCGTTGTTGTTGATGGCGATGGCATTGTCCGCGGTGCCGGCCCGTCCCTCTCTGACTGTTATCCTTGTTATGAGAAGCGACTGACTGCCGCGCGCCGCCATCAACGCAGCGACAAGCAAACCGACTGCGGTAATCATCGCAATAGTCTTTGCTTGCAGTGGCAGAAATGGACAGAGAAGGGTCTCAAGCTAACGTGGCGTGCAAGTCGCTGAACTCTTTCTTTCTAGTTCAATGTCGGGGCTGAGAGTGCAGGTCGAGTGCCGTCGTCGAAAAGGAGTTGTCTAGGGGTCAGGTATATTATGATAATGAAAGGGTGATGACGTCGATAAGCTGCTACATAGTGTGCTTTCATTAGATCTTCTTGAGGATTATGGGTTACGTCAAGCTCCTGCAGGCAAAGATATGGTCACTGCAAAGAACAACACGTAAGCTTTTTCAAATATCGTTTCCAAATTAATTAAGGTGACCTATTCACGTTAAGCCCCCTTTTAGAAGTGGACTAGTTTTCAACCGACGTCCTGCCTCTGCAGCTGAAATAAAGGTTAACTACGGCATATTCGATGAGACTACAAGGTCGAACCTTAGTACAATCTAACCTAATTTTTTTCTTGTTCAAAGGACGCACGTACTAGCACATACGTTGTGTAATAATAATTATTAACAGCGTCACTGTGTTCGCAGCTATGAATTGGAATCAGATTATGCATTGCATATGACACGCTCAAATACATGGAAGACAAAACGAAAAAAAAGAAAAAAAAAATAGCGCCTGGTTTGAAATATCAAAATCTGCCCTGATGATAAGATGGATCGGTAACTTTTAAACAATATGAATAGTCCATTTATCATCCTCTACGTTATCCGAACATTCTTCCTGTGATGAATGGTTGAATCGATCACAGATGGCGATCTCAAATGTCTTTGGATCTGATTGTGCATCCGCTTCTTAAACTATTTGCCTATCGACGGATTTGTTAGTCCGGTTTAAGCTAGATGGTCGATCGTACATTCGAAAAACCAGCATTTGTTTTTGGCGTTTCTGACATCACCGGGAGAGTAACTGAATCCCGGTCTGTATTCTAGCGTAGTGTAACCGTGCGTGAATATTTATTCTGAACTTTCTTAACTGGCGTAAGTGTGTTCCTTTACGTGCGGCCGTTAAATCTCCCAAATATGAGTAAGTCCGAGTAGACCATTTTACGAACCATAAGGACTATGAAACAGCGAGGCAAGACATCACGCGGTGAAGTAGCTAGATCTAACTGCATTCGCAGTGTGAATTACAGGATCAACAAAAGCGGTCATAACTGCTACGGTAAGATCGTGCTCGAATTCCGTAATTGGCATTGATGAAACAGATGCATTGCTTGTAAGAAATAGAACTATATACTGCACCTTGCTTGTGGCCCATTACTTTAATGTCTAATTTAAGCGTGTATCTATCTGTTTCAGTGAATGCAATTGTTGTCTGTTGCATGCACAGATAGGCATACGTAACTTATTTAATTTATCGACACTGGCCTTGTGTTAGACGTCGCGAGCTCACCGGCTAGAATACGGTCCGTAGAAATTAAGGTGAAATTCCACTTCAGCTTCGTTCGAGGTTTCTATTCTATTCTTTGACTTCATGGCTAAGAATTGATGTGGTAGGTCGGCTGTTGTATTGATTGGTGCTTCTTACTCATTTCTGCTTTATAAACCGTAATAATGTTGATGGTATGCACGACGCTGATGAGGATAAACAGTAAGTGAAATAATGACGATGAAGACGCTTACGGCGCTGCTGCTGCTGCCAATGATGGCGGCGACGACGACGACGACGGCGGCGGCGACAATAATGATGTTAGTATTGATTATTGTTCCCATTCGTCAGGTTTGCTCCTGTCCAACCAGCAACAAGGGTTATGCTGATGCTGCCTCTGCTACTTCTGTAGATGATGGACCAACAGCGTCTCGGCGTAGTTACTATAGGTCTTTGTCGTCGTTGTTGTGATGTTGGACGCAGGGATGAGCGACCGGCCGATGACGCGTATGTCCGTCCGTCTATTGGCAGATGCCGCTGCCTGTTGTCAGCTAGCTAGCGTCAAGGAATAAATCAACGGGCAAACATAAGCAGCGATGTAATGGCTACAGCGATATCGGTTGTCTACTGCTTGCATAGATGGATTGTCTCACTGCTTGAGCATCCGACCGCCTACAAGGTATATAATAGAAGAGACCGACGGAAGAAGGAGCGTCCTAGTCGAGTGCTACTGCTACTGCTGCTTAAAATCTCAGAGAGAACAAAATCATCAAAATGCATTTCGAGGGACTGTGATGTCGGCGTTACTGCCATTGCGGCAGCAAGCCTAGTAGCTTTCTTTTGTTCGACATATGTTTGTCATCCGTTGCCAGCGTTGCCACTACTGGAGTATTCGCTTCGGGTTGTACGTTCAGCATTACCTCACTGCCATTAGGTACTGCCTCTGACAGTTGTTTCCGCGAACACGAGCATGGCGTCTGCTCTCGGCGTCTAACAAACGTACAGCTCACGCAAACGTTTCTGATAATCGCAGACGGATTATTGAGCCTTCATCGTTTCATTACTATTACTTTTGTTTTTGTTGTTGTTAAGTTCCGGAGTACCAGAATTATTCCAACTGCTTGGTGTTCCGCGCCGTGCTTCGACGAGCTAATCGAACCCATGTGAGCTAGAATCGTTAACGTCGTCTGCTAACACATATA